CAGGATCAGGGTATGACAGGGACTGGGCCATGGCAGGGATCAGGACTGCCAGTTCCAGCAGCTGTGGGATCAGCTCAGTTGTACCATCACATTCCTCAGTCCCTTGGGCTTTGCCTTCATCCCTCATGTCCTTGGCAGGAGGGCACAGGAGGGGAGCTCTTTCCCTTCCTTTTGGTCTCTGAGCTCTTGGCAGAACTTCTGATCCTCTGGGCTGCACCCAGGAACGATTTGCCTGCTTTGCACTTGGCCTTTGGGGAGTAAAAGCTGGGAATGCTGCTTGGATCTGCCTCCTCCTTTCAGTGCTGGGCCTTTCACCTGGTGACCTGTGTGAGGGAATGGGTCCTTGGACTGCAGGAGGAATCTGCCTGAGCCTTTTGGGTTTAGCCTGTACAGAGGAGACACTGATTCTGGCCAGGCTGGAGCTGTTTAGATTGCTCCCAGGGGAATTGTGCAGGAAATCCTTTTGTTGGAGAGAGCGTGGATTGCAACAGGAACATGGATTGCAGCTCAGTGCAGTGCAGTGATTTCCCAAAACCTGGCTGTGAGATGCCAAACTCTCATCTCCAGGGAGTTTTATCATTTCCAGTCTCTGCCTGCTGCCATTTGCAGCTGCCTTATGGATTTGAGTTCTCAGCTAAATGGCATTAAATCTCTCTGAAGTCTGGGGGCAGAGTGGATTTCACGGGTCACTTAAAAAAAACAGCTGAAAAAAAGCCAAGTTGCATTTCCCTGCCAGCTCTCCAGGCCCACATGGGGGCTGACAGCAAGTCTGGCTGAAAGCAAACCCAAACTCTTCCTTCCCAGCTGATGGGCATGGAAAGAAGGAGCAGGGAGGGAGGTGAGGAAGAGCTGACACCCAGGTGCTGCTGGTGCTGCTGGTGTGATGGCCAGAGCTCTGCTGTCCCTGGGAGTAATCCCTGACATCACTGTTGTATTTTTAGCTGCCTCCACCTGACGGTGCCTCGCTGTCCTTGTCTGATTGAAGAACCTGGCCTGCAGCCATTGACAGTTCCAGCTTGGGCAGTAATTATCTTTTCCTGCTTTGAATAAGGGAGCTGCTCCAGCCTCCCTGCTCCACTGAACTACAAATACCACAAACCACAGGTTGCACCAGAACAGTCCCCTCACGTGGGCAGCACTGCCTGGGACCCCAAAGGGATGGAATCCCTTTGCTTACAGAGCTGGGACCCCAAAGGGATGGAGTGGAGTCCCTTTGCTTACAGAGCTCCTGGTGTTTGTCAGCTCAGCTCCCTCGGTGCTTTTCCTGCAAACATTCTCCCTTTTCCGGGAGTTTCCAGTGCCAAGTGCAGGCTCTGCCTTGCCTGAGTGCTCCCCAGGGAGTGGCCTTTTCCTTCCTTGCTTCAAGGAGCCAGGAGCAGGATGAAGCTGTGCTGCTGAAACGAGGGGTAAAATGTTAAAGTTTGGACTCGTCCTCTGTTCAGGAGCTGGATTGGAGTGGGAACTGCCACCGGGAAGAGGCACAGGACTTCTGGGGGGCCAGAACTCACCTGGAATCCTTTCTCCACCACCTGCCTCACCTGTATTTGTTTCCCCCTAAACACAGGACTTTGCTCAGAGCTGAGTGCTGGGCAGTCCAAGGGGCAGGGAAGGCACAAAGTGTCTCTTGCCAGTCCCGGGTATCTCCTGTGCCAGAGGGGATGTTGGGGCTGGGTGATAAGCTGGGCTCTTCCTCTTCAGCTGCCTGAGGATGGGCTGGGTGTTATTTTTAGTGTCAGCACTTCAGAAGTGTGTCTGGGAGCCTTGAGCCCCGTCTGCTTGGAGGCCTTTCCTCCTGGCTAATTTGGGCAGTGTTACATTCTTCGAGATCTGCCTGGGGATTGGGAGGCCTTGTAAAAATTCCTGCTAACAAGGCTGTGTCCCTGAAGCACTTGGAGATAACTCATTAATCAACTGAGAGGCATCTTTGGCCGTGCAGAGGGAACAGACCCTTTCCTGTGGCTGCTGCTGAGGCTGAGGGACATCCCACCCCTTGTGGATGGCGCCTGGAACAGCTGATGATGTTTCCCGTGGGTCTCACCCCGTGTAAGGCCCAGAATATTTTCTCTTTCTCTGGTGCAGAAGCAGAGTGGTGGTTGGTGTTACAGCCCTGAGTTCCTCCAAGGAGTGTGGCTGATAAAGCTCCTTGTCTGTCTGTCCCTGGCAGGAGTCAGAGTCCGAGAACAGGCTGGATGGAGAGACGGCGTCGGACAGCGAGAGCAGATCGGAGTTCGGAGGTTCATCCACGGTGCATACATCAGATGACACCCCAGAGGTCCTGAACAGAGCTCTGTCCAACCTGTCCTCGAGGTAACACTCCCTGAGCATCATCCCCCTCCCCTGCCAGGGCCTGGCATGCTCTCCCTGCTCTCCTGGCCCAGCAGCACTTTAGGGGCTGCTGGAAGTGGAAGGAGCAGCTCTCCAGCTCTTTTCCTGCCTCCAAGGCCACGGGAAAGCAGCAGGGAGAGCAGGGAGCAGGGTCAGGGATGCTGTGGGTGGGAGAGGAGGGGGCTGTGGGAGGGTCTGGCTTCCTGCTGGGTCCTGGCAGGTGGAGGGGCCTGAGTGGGAGAGACCACAGGGGATGTGTGTGGCTTTGACAGCACTCACAAAGATTTGAGCTGTGGAGGTGTTGAACCACCAGTGTGCAGGAAATGCACAAGAAGTCATGCTGAGGAGGGCAGGAGTTAAGAGCAGGAGTTAACAGCAGACTGGATGTTCTCTACAGACCGTGGTGGGGGGAAGTGTCTTGTTTTTATCACAGAAAGTGTCTCCCCTGGGTGTGCTGTGAGGATGGGACAGGCTCAGGGCAGGGCAGTACTGAGGGTACAACACCTCACAGCCCATCTCTCCTCCTTGAAAGGAGTGCAGAGGCGGGGGGTGGTCCCTATTTTATTTAAACTTATCCTGCAGCTTGTCCAGGGGGTGGGAAACCTGTAGCAGACCAGGAGCAGACGCTCTCCTGTCCCATCTCCTGTGCCTTGGAGATGCCCAGCACCTCTTTTAATGTTTTCTGCAGTTAGTGAGGCTGATCTGAAGCCTTGCAGCTACTGCAGCCAGGCCTTTGGCAGCAGCTCGAGCTCTCTCTGCAGCACTGAGAGGAAACTTGGGCTTTCCAGGGCTCAGTTTCCTTCCTGTGAGACACAGAGAGCAGAGGTGCTGCTGGGCTGCTTCGCTCTGGTTTGACTTACCTCTGACATCTTCCTTTCTCTCTGCCCTAGATGGAAGAATTGGTGGGTGAGGGGCATCCTCACGCTGGCAATGATCACCTTCTTCTTCATCATCATCTACTTGGGGCCCATGGTCTTGATGACAATTGTAAGTGCTGCAGGGAAGTGTCCTGACGTTCACGGCCACGGTGGGGAGGTTGCTGGGACCATTGCTGGGGTGGGAGGCTCAGAACCTCATGTCTCAGGAGTCCCTGTTCATCTGGCTGGATGAAAACCTGGGCAGGAATCTGCTGGCCAGCACTTGGCTGCAGTTTGGAACCAAGACAGGAGGTTGTTGGAAAGGGGAGGGAAGAACAGCGTGGTGAGATGCCCGTGGCGGATTAGGAGGCTCCTGCCAGGCTGAATATTGACTGTTAAAGCACCTCTTCCTCTGCATATGCATGTTTTTTGTCTCCCTGAGGAGAGAGCTGTTCAATCACCGTGGATTGCAGCTCTGGGTGTCTTTGTGTGCAGGTGATGTGTGTGCAGATCAAGTGTTTCCACGAGATCATCACCATTGGCTACAACGTGTACCACTCGTATGACCTGCCCTGGTTCAGGACGCTCAGCTGGTGAGTGAGGGGGGGATCCCCTGCCCAGGCCTGTGTGCAGCAGGAACAGCCCATCCCAGGGCAGGGGGGACACCCCCAGAGACCCTGGGGTCGCTGTGTGTTCACTGTGATGTTTGTTAACAGCTCCTGTAAAGGCAAATCACAGAACCGTGGAACAGTTTGGTTGGAAGGGGCCTTAAAGATCATCTCATTCCATTCTGTGGGTAGGGACACCTCCCACTAGAACAAAAAGCCCCCAGGAGCCTTAATAAATCAGCATCTTAGGAGAGCCCTTATTGATGAAGTTTGTCCTGTTGTTAATGAAGTGCAGAGATGAGAATCCCCTGGTCTGTGCAAGGGACAGCAGTGACAGGAGTCACCACCTGGAGATGGATGTGGTTGTGTGGGTGGGATGGGAGTTTTCAGGTGGTTGTGAAACAGGGCTGAGCATGGGGGGTGTAGAACCAGAAAATGCCAGAATGGTTTGGGTTGGGAGGGACCTCAAAGCCCATCCAGTGCCACCCCCTGCCATGGGCAGGGACACCTTCCACCAGCCCAGGTTGCTCCAACCTGCCCTTGGACACTCCCAGGGGTCCAGGGGCAGCCACAGCTTCTCTGGGCAGCCTGTGCCAGGGCCTGCCCGCCCTCACAGGGAGGAATTGCTTCCCAATATCCCCTGTAGCCCTCTCTCTGGCAGTGGGAAGCCATTGCCCCTTGTCCTGGCACTGCACCAGGGCTGGGGAGAGGGCAGGAGTGGGTGCTTTTGGGAACCACAGGATAGGAGGCAAGGGATGGGGGATTTTGGGAGCCAGTTGAGCTGTGCCACCTAAAGGCAGAGTCTTTGTGCATCAAGGCCAAACTCAGGCCCAGAGCAGAGCTGAGAGAGGCACCCACTCTTTGAGGCGTGGGCGACATCTCCGAACGGGAGGAAATAAAGTCCAGGCTGTCACCTGAAGGAATCCCGTGGGCACTGTCCCAGGGCAGTGATCCTTGGGGATCAGTCACTTCCTGTGTTTCTCCAGAAGCTTTCCAGGGTTCCTCCTAACGAGCATCCCCGTCCTCCACAGGTACTTCCTGCTCTGTGTGAACTATTTCTTCTACGGGGAGACGGTGACAGATTATTTCTTCACGCTGGTGCAGAGGGAGGAGCCCCTGCGGATCCTCAGCAAATACCACCGTTTCATCTCCTTCGCCCTCTACCTGACAGGTACGACCACTTCTGCTGCCTCACCTGGGGAGGGAAGTGTTGAATCCCTCTTACCCTGCGTGCTGTGCTCGGTGCAGCGTCCAAAGCAAACCATCTGTGCTCTCCAGGGACGCTGTAACGTGGCTCAGGGTGGGAGCAGTGGCGGAAAATCTCTTACATGAGTAGAAAAAAACCCCCCCAAAACTCCATAATCTGTCTGGGACAGCCAGGTTGTTCTTCTCTCCAAGGGGGATACCTGTAGGCAATGGTGTGACTCCCAAAATAGTGCTTTCCCTGCTTAACATTGTTCTTTTACTCAGGTAAAATCCTCAGCAGCTGCTCAGTCTCGTGGTACAAAATTCTTTCTGGCTGTGGAAGGTGCATTTCCCACCTTTGGCTTTTCTTCTGTCTCTCCTCAGGTTTCTGTATGTTTGTCTTGAGCCTGGTGAAGAAACACTATCGCCTCCAGTTCTACATGGTAAGGTCCAAAATTAGGGATTAATTAATTAGGGTTAAATTCAGGGCCTGGTAAATCCGGGGCCTGGTGAGATTAAATTCAGAGCCTCGTAAGGTTGAGTTCAGGGGCTGGAAAGGTTAAATTCAGGGCCTGGTGAGATCAAATTCAGGGCCTCCTGGGTTAAGTTCAGGGCCTGGAAAGCTTAGATTCAGGGGCTGGTAGATTAAATTCAAGGCCTGGAGAGGTTAAATCTAGAGCCTGGTGGGTTAAATTCAGGGGCTGGTGGGTTAAATTCAGGGGCTGGTGGGTTAAATTCAGGGGCTGGTGGGTTAAATCCAGAGCCTGGTGGGTTAAATCCAGGGCCTGAATGGCTGCCCCCAGTTGGAGGCACAAGCAGGAATGATGTAGGCTGTCTGAAAACATGTGGAGGTCACTGTGTCAGCAGCTGCTCCTGAGCTGGTTGTGCATTGTACTGCTGCCTGGAGGGAAGGTGCCTGTGAGCAGACTGTGTTTTTAGGAAGCTCTCTGACAGAACTCCCCTTCAAAGATGTATTCCCTTCCCTCTGCACTCGTGGGTGCTGTGAGGAAGCTCAGAGGGCTGCAGGTGCTGAGGACAGATTGACTTTGTCTCCCTCTTCCCAGACATCAGTGAGGTGTTTCCTCACATGTGACCATCGACACAGCTGGGTTTGCTCTCCAAAACATTCAACAAAACAGGGATGCAGCCTGGATATCTGTTGGTGTTCTGCTCTTCTCCTGCAGTCAGAAATCTGAGTGAGGTGTATGGGAGCAGCAGGAGTTCCCAGTGAGGGTCACAAATGGGACTGAGCTGCAGAACTGGCCCGTAAATTCCTCGGGGTGGCTGTTGGTGTTTGTCCTGGCAGAGGTGCTCTCTGAGGGAGCCCACAGCCCCTGAGCTCTGCCCCCAGAGCAGGGCAGCTGTCCCTGGGCGGGCTGGGCTCCACCCTTGTCTTCTCTTCCAGTTCGGATGGACCCACGTGACGTTGCTGATTGTTGTCACCCAGTCCCACCTCATCATCCACAACCTGTTTGAAGGAATGATCTGGTGAGTTTGCTCTGGCTTCTGAGGGCTTTATTTAATTTGCAGCCTGAAATGGCTGAGGGGAAGGTGCTCCCTGTGAGGGACCAGCCTGTCCAGAGCAGAGCAGAACAGCAAAAGACTGAGTGACACCTCAGTGTCTTAGGACTTGCTTTGTGCCACTAGAGAGATGCTGTAAAGGAGCATCTGATGATATCTGTGGGGTGCAGGGACCCTTCAGGTGGTGTCAGGCCTGGATAGATGATTTCTCTTAATACCCACCCCCAAAAAATGGATAGGAAGGTGCTGCTGGATTTGGGGCTGGGATATCAGCAGATGGTAAAGGCCGTGCTGTGGAAGGAAGGAGGTGGAACCTCCCACCTCACTCCAGCTGCTGTACAGAAGGGGAGCCCCTCTGGTGGTCTTGCCAAAACCAGCAGGGCCAGGAACTAATTTTTGGGCCACTTTAATACTGCCTGTTCCTCTGTGTGTGACAGCCAGCCCGGGGGACTCTGGGGGTGGAGGTGGGGTGGGGAGGTCAGTGCCCCAACAGCATGTCATGTGGGACTAAAGACAGTGTGCCTGAAACAAGCCATTCTGGGTGCACAACCCCCTCTTTAGTCCAGAACACTTGGGTAACCCCCAGATTTCCCTTGGAGCTCCAAGTGGGTGCTCCTTGCATCACCCTGGAGGAGGAAAGGTTGGTGTGCTGGCCCTGCAGAGCCCCTTGTACCGGCAGCTGCTCGTTAGGTCCTGGAGTTGTGTGGTCTTGGCACTGCCAGTGGTTTGATCCCTGTGCCCTGCAGGTTCATTGTGCCCATCTCCTGCGTGATCTGCAACGACATCATGGCCTACATGTTCGGGTTCTTCTTCGGCCGCACGCCGCTCATCAAGGTCTGTGACGCTCTGGGGAGCAAAACGGGGGTTTGGGCCTCTCTGGGCCTTGGGTGTTCCCTCAGCTCCTGCTGGGGGTCTGAATCGAGCCCCCAAATTAAACCTGGGTGTGCATCCCAGTCTGGGAGGCTGTAAAATGAAATAATAGAGTATTGAGGTTGGAGGGGACTTTTCAAGATCATGGAGTCCAACTGGGAATGAATGAGCGGTCTCAGACTGAAATGTTGGTGGCAGCTTGTGACCAAACTCTTATTTGAGGATGGTGGCACCAGCTTGTATCGGCCTCAGCAGTTCACAGGTGAGGAAGGGCTGCAGAGGTGTGGAAATAATGACGTCCCCCTCTTTCTCTTGGACAGCTCTCCCCAAAGAAGACCTGGGAGGGTTTTATTGGAGGATTTTTTTCCACTGTTTTGTTCGGATGGTTGGTAAGTTGGTGCTGATTTCATTGACCTTTTCCCTTCATGGGGTCAGTGTTTTGTCTAAAAAATGCAGTCAGGCTTTAATCTCTGCACCTTTTCTTTGCTGACCTGGTCTGAACTGGTCCATGGCTGTGTGCAGACACTGGGGGAGGTTTTCAGTCCCTGATAAACCCTGTGACATGTTCATTGCAGGGAGAATTTGGATGGGTGCTGTGCATGATTTCCCAGGCTGGGGGGGGAATTCTGCACTCTTGGAGTGTTCTGACCTGTTTTATGACCATCTCTGACTGCCTGTTGCTGTCCCCTCAGCAAGGGGGTGCAGCCTGGCCCAGCTCTGACCACTCCTTGCTGAGCAGATGCTCTTGCTGTGCCTTTAGCCAATCACTCTGCTCAGGAGGGTAATCTCCTTAGGGAAGCTGGAGTGTGGCTCCCTCCTCTCCTTGCATGGCCTGTTCTGTGAGATCAGCTCTGCTGCTCCCCTCAGGAAGATATTAATGCTGTTTTCTTTGCCATGTCTCCCTTTGTGTCCCCTTGGAGCTGTCCTATGTGATGTCAGGGTACCGCTGCTTCACCTGCCCTGTGGAGTTCAACAACGACACCAACAGCTTCACGGTGGACTGTGAGCCCTCCGAGCTGTTCCAGCTCCAGGAGTACAACATCCCCCTGGTGCTGCAGTCTGTGGTGGGCTGGGTATGACTTTCCCTGTTTATCACATCCAATTTATTGGGACAGGAGCCCTAAGAAAGGAGAGCAAGGCTTTGTTTTGATGGGGTGTGTGAAGGAACACGACAAGGGAGGATGGTGGTGGTTGACATCCCCGAGGAGTTGTCCTGGGTCTGGTGGGGCGTTAACCCACTTGAAAACCAGCTGAGCTACAGCCTGGGGGGCAGAGAAGGAGGGGCAAGCAATGGGCAGTGGTGTTCTCGTGGAAAATCCCTCTGTGCCGTGTCTCTCCTGCAGAAGACGGTCCGGATGTACCCCTTCCAAATCCACAGCATCGCCCTCTCCACCTTCGCCTCCCTCATCGGGCCCTTCGGAGGCTTCTTTGCCAGTGGGTTCAAGAGGGCCTTCAAAATCAAGGTGAGGATGGGGAGGGTTAGTGCCCTTTCAGGAAGGGAAGGCCAAAGGGTTGCTGCCTCTCGGAGCAGTCCCTGCACTCCAGGGAACAGCAGGATGGTGCTCTGGGAAGGGAGGGGGTGTTTGTTCAGTCACAGATAAGGTGGAGCAGGATCTGGGTTTTTTTTTTTTTTGACTGAATGGGAAGAGACCTTAAAATTTCAGCTGTGATGTTCCAGACCCTGCTGTGGTACAGAAACTGAAGCAGGGGAGGACAGACCCAGCCAGGAAATTTTGCAATCTGAGGCTTCCCTTGATGTCAACAGGCTGGTTTTACATGTAAACGGTCTGTGATCAGTTAAGATGCCTTGAAGGGCAAGGCAGGGTGACAGGAGATAAACGTTTATCAGCCTTGCCTGACCTTTGAGTGACAGTTAAGCCTCACTGTCCCTCGGGCACCAGCAGCTTCACGCAGGAGAAACTTTTTAAAACCAGGGGAGAGATTAAACAAAATGTCTCCTTAACCTGACTTTGCCTTCTGGGAGGAACTGGAGCAAGGGGATGAGTGCCACGTGGGGAGGCACAGAAGCAAGTTTTATACCAGGTATTTGCAACTGCTCAGTGCAACCCCTCTGCTTTGCTCAGGACTTTGCCAACACCATCCCGGGACACGGAGGGATCATGGACCGCTTTGACTGCCAGTACCTGATGGCCACCTTTGTCAACGTGTACATCGCCAGCTTCATCAGGTCTGTGCTGCTCTGGGGGCCCTGCACGACCCAGGGCTGGACAGGCTGGGCGTAAGAGGCAGTTTCCCCCCTTAGATTGACATCTGAAAACAACAAGACACAGAGGGAAGGCTTGAGGGAAGGGAAGGGTCTTTTAGTGGGGCCGGGCAGAGCTGGAAGCACAACCCTCGTTCCCCAAGGGCTGTTATTGTAGTCCCACTGAAACTCCTCCTTCTGCATCCCTGTGAGGGCTGGACAGGGTTTCCAGAGTCAAACAAGCAGGAAAAAATCTCATTTTTTAGCATTAACAAGCCTTCTGTAGCCAAGCACAGAAGAAAACCTGTAGGCACATCAAAGATGTCTCAGGGAGCCCAGGAACTGTCTCTGTGTGGCTGCCTGGATTTGTGAGGGGGAGCATCTGCTGATGGGGTGCACAGTCCTCTTTAAACACACTGGATTTGGGGGGTGTTCTTTTGTGTTTACAGTTCAGCACCCCGTGCCTTTTGAAACGATTTCCACATGCCAAGTGGAGTTAAGCTCCCCGTGTAGGGCTGGTGAAGGAATGGACAGTGTGGTCAATAATTTAAGCCCATCATTTCTCTGCAGTGGCACTGGAGCCCCCAGCTCGCCGAGATTTAGCCACGTGCCTCTCTGATAACGGTGATTTTGTGTTTCAGGGGTCCCAACCCGAGCAAACTGATCCAGCAGTTCCTGACCCTGAGGCCAGACCAGCAGCTCCACATCTTCAACACGCTCAAAGCACACCTGGTTGACAGGGGAATTTTGGGGAGCCTGGAGGACGCGTAGGCACCGGGAGAGAGGGACAGGACTGAGCACAGACAGGCCTCCGAGAGGAAATCCCTGGCTTGCCTGATTGAAGACAATAACAAGGCCTCATTTCACTGTAACTTTTCTTCCTTTCTTGGTAAATGTTTGCATTTGTGGTTTTTTTTTTTTTTTAAATAATATATTTATAGAGCTTTGGTTCAAACGAGCAAATCTCGGGTTTGGAGCTGAGGAGGAGTCAAGGTTTGGAAGGACTGTGGGGTGAAGCAGGAGGGTAGGACTGTCCTTGGGGACTGTGCTGAACCTTTGCAGTGTTTGGGCAGTGCTGAGCTTTCCCTGTGAGTGCATTTTTGCAGGGAACACAGAACGTTGTCCGTGTGGAGCTGGCAGGGAAGTGACTCCGTGCCCTCCCCTGGCTTGCTGTGCCAGGCTGGTGGCAGCTCTGGGGACCATCCTTCTCTCCAGTGGGACCTGGGAATGCAGTGGGAGTTCTCCCAGAAAGCTGTGGGATTCTCCTTGCCCAGGCTCTGGGAATTGGAAGAGGATCTTGTACTAACCCAGCCCCGTTTCCTCTGCCCAGCCAGGCACCTGCAGCTGCTCTCACCTGCTGGTTTTTGCAGTGCCTCTCACATTCCCTCTTTTTTGTGGCTGATATTTTGGCGAATGAGACTTTTATAACCAATTAAACCAGGAACAGACTGGGGACAAGGAGCCAAGGAACTGGGAGTCGCACATGGGAATGTGGGAGGTTCAAATCGCTTCAAAACTGCTTGGAGTAAATAAGTTTTAAAGAGCATTGAAGCTTCACTGAGTAATTTCTGCCAAGTAAGAACAACCCTTAATTAACTTGGTTCATTTTCCCCCATTAAATAACCTTTAAGAACCACCCTTTTCCATTTCTTGATGGTTGGAAACCCCTCACTGGGATATTTTAGGCAATTTGGGGAGCAGTTTCCAGCCTGTTTTCTTGCTGGTTGGGCTCTGGCCCTGCTGGGGCTCCACTGGGAGTTTTGTTTTCTTTTCAGGGATCATGTCTGTTTGTTACTTGAGTTGTAGATGTTGTGCTGCTGAGTTTACCATGGTCTGTGTTGCATTTCAGTCTGGGTTCATTTCTCTGCAGGCTTCTGTCCTGCTTTGCTCACTGAATCTTGTCAGAAATAGTTTGTACTTAATAGCTGCAAGTTTTACTGAATTTTCCTTTATTTTGTCATACTTTTTTTATTATTTAAAATGGAGAGCCCTAAAGATTGTAAAACATTTCTTTTTGGTTTTTTTTTTTTTTTCTTTTTTTGTGCTCAGATAGTGAAAATATCCCCATTTCCACCTTATGCAGTGTTCCCAAACACGAGGTGACTCTTGATTTTCCTTCTTTCCATAGTTTGTGCATGGGAGAGAGAACCTTTACCTTATTTTAACCTGGGGAAGGAGTGACAGGGAGAGTTCATACAGAGGTGCATTGGTGTTTTCAAGCAGTTGCTGACACAACCCTAAGGCACAACCCCCCCCCCGTATGAGACCTGTACCTGCTGCAACCTGGCTTAGCCTCGACAGAAAATAAACCACCTGAGAACACCCCAAATTCAGTTTCCCCTCCCTATTCTGGTTCTGCCGTCGTTTCCACTTCCCCTGAGCGTGCAGGAGAGCTCATGTGTGATGTGTGTGTAAATATATTGAACAGATCCAGCCTCTCTCCTGCATTTCTGGAGGACCCTGTGCTGGGCTCTGCTTCCTCTGCCCAGACAGGACCCACAGGGCAGGAATTTGTCTCCAAATGCAGGGATTTGATGGAAAGCACAGAGGAAGGGGCTGTTTCCCCAGAGTGTTTTCAGGGTGGTGCTGGCAGAGCTGCTGCACTCAGCCAGGGCAGGACTGGCTTTGGGGAATGCCAGTGGTGTCCCTGGGCTGGCTGTGGTGTCTGTTCCTTCCCAGCTTGAATTAGGCAGGGATTTATTTTCTGTCCTCTTAGAGAATGTTGGTCCAGGCCCCTCATTTGCAACCTGGAGAGGAGGGTTAAGGTGCCCAGGGAGACTATTTGGGCTGGGTTTCATCACGTTCTGGGTGATCTCAGCAAGGCAAAGTGAGGGCACCTGCCAGGAGCATCCATGGGGATGGGTGTGGGGGTGCTTTGTGCAGTCCCTGAGATCATTTTGCCCTGTGGGGTTGGACCAGCTGGTGCTTTTCGGGGTTCCCCTGCCCTTGCCAAAACCCCTGGTGGGTACTGTTGGCTCACAGGTAGAAGTGATGGTGTTGGTAACTATTCCAAAAGTGTGCTCTGTTTATACTGAGAAGTTTTTTCCAATGTCCTGAAGTTTTTTAGTCTCCTGCTCCTCTGCTTTGACCCTTCTGTACCTCTTCAGCTGTGATTAGCGGGGCAAAACCCGACCCAAGGCTGGGCAAAACCCCACCCAAGGCTTTGCTTCAGGCTTTGGTTTATCTGGGCCTTTCTGGAGGGTGCAAGTGCTGGGTGTGGGCACTGGAGGGCAAAGTGGCTCTGTTTAGAGGCTGGGAGAGAAGCAGCAGCAGCAGCAGCTCTGCCGGTGGGTGGCTGCTTCCCTGATCAGCTTTATTCCTGCTTCCTTCCCAGCAGTGCAGGGAAAGGGGGAACTTCCAAACCTCTGCTGGTCTGAAGGGCAAGGCTGAGTGGAAAGGGTTTAGTATCCTGCATGGAAGTTTGTTAAACTGGCTGGCAACAGTGGAGGAAGGCAGGGAGATGGGGGCTGTTAGGAATATTTGCAAGTTGTACAGCTGGACCTGGAGAATCCTGGGGTGCTGTGGGTTGGAAGGAGCCTGAAAGATGATCTTGTTCCAGCGTGGCAGGGAGCCTCTCACTTGGCCAGCTTGCTCCAAGGCCCATCCAGCCTGATCCTGAACGCTTTGCAGGGATGAGGAGTTCACAACTTGCTGAGAAAAAGAAAAGAACAGCTGATGTTACTGGCCTTGGCTGTCCCTCGGGGGGCGTGCACGTGGCCCCTCTTTGCCACTGTGTGGACCTTGGTGATGCTGCAGCTGGGAGGGAGGCTGATGGAGAGAGGCCAGAATGACCCCAGGGATGGCTGGGGAGGAGATGCTCAAGGGAAGTTCCTCCAGCTCAGGTTGCACCGTAGTTTTGGTTCCCAGTGGGCTCCAGCACTGGGGAAGTTCTTCCTGCTTGTGCCAAACAAATAGGAGGAGCAGAGCAAAGGGGGAGGTCCTGTGTCAGCTGCAACGTGTGCTTGGGTTGAGAGGAAGAGACGAGTAGGACGTGGCCAGTGTGGAGCTTCTGAGGGCAGGGATGGGCTGGTGTGGGAGCCACCCCTGCACCAGTGTCACTGGAACAGGCAGAGAGGGGCGTGGGAGTGTTTTATGAAGGGATGGCACGTGGCTGGAAAGCTGCTTTTGTGTGCAGTGAGGGGCTGGCTGTGCTGGGGAGGGCACTGAGCACCCCCAGGGCTGTTGGCCAGTGGATGGTTCAGGTGGGCCATGGGTTTGATCCCCAGCCTGATGAGCTGGGACAGGCTGGGTCTGGGAGATGAGCACCTGGCACACTGGGGCCGGAATTTGCTTCTCCATGTCTGGCTGTGTCCCAGATGAGTCTGCAGATGGGATGGAGGGCCAGCCCGTGGCCCAGAGTGCTCAGGGAAGCCCCAAACCTGGTCTGTGCAGTTGTGTCCTGTGTGATCAGCCTGTGTCAAACAGATCCTTTGGGGTGAGGGGCTCGGCAGTGACACCGATCCCTGCGGTTCCTGGTGGCTCGTGGAGATCCCCCAGCATCGCCTAAAGCTTGGCACCAGGCTGGGAAATCCCAGGAGCCTTTTCCAAGGGATGCCTCCTGTTTCCAGGACGTGCAGGGAGCTCTCCCAGGCCTGGCCCTGGGGGGATCCCACCCTCTCCTCCTCCCCCAGCTGCCTGTGGTGGGAGCAGGGCAGAGCTGTGTGTCAGCCCCCCCCAAACAGCCCCTCCAGCCCCTCCTGGGTGCAGGTCAGTCACGAAAGTTACCGTGGGGAAGCTCCTGGGGTTGCTCCCTCCCTGGGGAGGCACTCTGTGCTCCTGTAATCCCTGTGTGCCCTGTTCTCCAGCCCTGCCGTGTTCCCACCATCGGCTTCTTTCTCTGTGCATTGTTCTTTTGGTTCCTGTTTTAGCTGCACACGTAGAGTTGCCTTCCTTTGACCGAATGTTCGAATGTGATATATTGTATATTTTAAAAGTATCTACCCTATTTATATACTGTATGTTACTGTTAAATAAATATAAGTTCCATTACCTGCCGGTGGAGTTTTATTCAGTGGGATGCTCCAAACCTCCTTTCCGTGCTCTGCGGAGCAGATCCATCTGTTCCAAACTCACATTCCCTCATTCCTTGCTCCTTCCTCGGGGATTTTCCCAGGAGCAGACCTGGTTTTGGCAAGGACACAGGTGGGCTGAGCACACGGGCAGGATTGGACCATCCATGTCCTGCAGGAGAGACAGGAACAGGCACATTCCCAGCGGGATTTGCAGTGACCCTGGGGTCGGATCATCCAGGCTCTGTTTGATCAATGCTGAGGGAAGTGTTGGCACTGCTGCCCCTGTAAATCAGCTCATTTTACCCCAAAGATTTCATTGGGAACGTGAAGGATATAAATTCTTCCTTCACTTCAGCTGTTTTTCCTGGCTTGCCTGGGGTTGGGAGGGCAGAATCCTCTGTTTACCCAGAAAAAAATGCTATTTTTAGCTCTGGTGTTATTTTGACTGTTTCTGACTTATCAGCTAAGCCAAACCAGCCCCTCAGCAGCCCTTTTACGAGCTTCCTGTCACGCTGTGTGGGCACTTGCAGACAAATTCACCCTCCAGCAGCACCACAACCCGCTGCCCTCTCGATGGCCAGGGAGCAAAGTGACTCCAAAGCCCCAAATCCCACATTCCAGCACCTCACACCCAGGTACAGCAGGAGCTTGCTGAGACCCACCCTGTGATATTCAGCGATGTGGGAAGCAATTCGAGGTCTGAAATGATTCCTTGAGGGTAAATCTGCTGGAGAATGGACTCTGAAGCCCCGAGGAAGCCGTGGAGCCTCGGGCAGTGGGGCTGTGGTGTGACCCTGCCGTGAGTCAGGCACAGCTGATGGGCCCAGAGCCCTGTCAGCCCCTCAGCTGCATAGCCCACCTTGTTTTACCCCGTCCTGGGCCAGTTTTCATTAAATCAAAGGTGGGAAATGGCATGTTCCCAGTGGAAATCCTGGTACTCACTGTTCTTCACACCCAAACAGCCTCAAACCAAAGCTGCTTCTGTGTGACCCCTGTCCAGACACATTTTCCATGAGATCCTGATGGGAGGGGGATGTAGAAACAAAACTAACAACTTTATGGGCTGAGATTTGCCTTTTTAAAAGTTCCCCTGGGCCGTGGTAGGTTTAGGTGGGATATTGGGAAGAAATTCCCCCCCCCCCTGTGAGGGTGCTGAGGGGCTGGGATGGAATTCCCAGAGAAGCTGTGGCTTCCCCATCACTGGAAGTGTCCAAGGCCAAGGCTGGACGGGGCTTGGAGCAACCTGGGCTAGTGGAAGGTGTCCCTGCCCGTGGCAGGGGGGGCAGAATGAGATGATCTTTAAGGTCCCTTCCAAGCCAAATTATTCCACGATTCAGCTCAGGGATTCAGCTTGATCGCTAATTCAAAAAAATCAACCTCGTGTTGTCCTTTCCCAAACTCAGAAGAAGCCACCGGGTTGCCCGATGATCTCAGGCAGGAGGCAGCTGAAGGGGGGCTCTGGGGGTGCTGGGAAGGGCTGTTTTGGGGTGTCAGGGAGGGCTGAGCCCTGTGGTGTGACCGCAGCGCTGGGCTGAACGGCCCCACTCGGGGCTAAGGCACAACAGTTTCCGTTCCGGAGGAGGGGAGAGGACCATGTGACATCCTGCTCACCCAGCGGGGTGGGAAAGGGCTGCTCCAGAAAGAACAGGCTGAAGGGAAAAAAAAAAAAAAGGGTTCAAAATGTGTGAGCCCCCTGGAGCTCCTGTGGCTGGCTGCTGATAGTATAAAGAGGGGAAAATGGTGTTAAATTCAGGGCTCCTTCAGGGCTCTCTCTGCGTGGGGTGCAGCAGAAGTGGAGCTGGTTGAGGAGTTGGGGTCCCAAGCAGGATACTGGGTTAATCTCGTTCGCTCTGGGCTGCTCTGCTGGGTTGTTCCACACTGTCATGCTCTCTGGGCAGTGGAATGTGTGAGCTGGGGATCCCTGAGCTGGCTCCAGTCACTGCCCAAAGCAACAAAGTGGTTTTTCGGCTGTGATTAACCCAAATGAGCCCAGCAGGTCCACCATGATCTGACCTGGACACCCAGGGCAGGCTCCAGCTCCTTTCTTTTCTCAACTTACGCTACAGGACTGGAAAAAAAAAACCAAAAAACACCTTTGCAAGTGGCTCAGAGCACCCTGGGCACGACCCTGGGCTAGAAATCACAACGGGAACCAGTGGCCAAGTCCTCGTTCATCCCCCTGCGCTCCCCCCATCGCTGTTCCTGCTTCTGCTCGGGGCAACTTCCCTCTCCACAAGGTCTGGGCTTTCCCAGGATGGGGGAGATGGGGGCTGGAGCCTCTGTCAGGCCTTGGGGGGCCCCTGCCATGGCTTGGAGCCCCC